CCCAAGTCTTCCTCAATGCCACAGTTTTGATTAAAGTATTCCTTAACATCTGAATATGCTACAGTTGGGGGGGAAAGGCTAATTAAATACACTATAATACTGTGTTATGCGAAATATGCTTTATATGGCTGATTACTATGTTTAATTGATAAAAGTTTCAGAAAGCTTTACAGAGTAAACATGTACTTAATTATAAGTGTGTAGTCTGGGGTATTTTCCACAAAAAATTAGACGTTAAATGTTTGTCCAAACATTTACTTGTTACCTCAACATATACTTGTTTCAATAGGAGAAAAATCAGATTTTACACAGCATTTTCAGTGTTTTTAACGTTGCCAGGTATTGCAAATCAGTTTTAACATTTGTAAGTACTCTATTATGTACAGTTCTAAATACTGTACTGATCAACCATGTAACTTTTACTGAAGTTAACTGGTGACTATAAAGGTTAAAAATCTAAAAGAAAAGGCTATGCCAGTGTCAGGTAAACCAAAAGCCTTTAAATCTATAATCTCTAAAACAACATAATGAGAAGTTAGCTCTACCTGTTTTACTACTTTTTTAACACACACCCAAATATAACCATAAACCTCAATGGGGAAAGCTTTCTTCTAGGTTACTTATTTAAAAGTTTGTAACAAAGAAAGTGTGAAAAGACTCAGGAAAACTATTCTAAGATACAAACTTCCACTATATTAACTACATGTAAACAGACTTTATAAATACGTTGATATAAATGTCAGAACCCACTATAACATCACATTGTTTGTGCTTGTAATAGCTGCATTTAAAAATTATTCCAGAAGAAACTTAAAGATTTAGGTTCCTTTCCCTCTAACCTCTGTAATACAATCATTTTAACATACATTTTTAAAAGAAAATTACCCTATATTTATAAGAGAATAAGCTCTACTGGTTTCTGATACACAATAGAGTTCAAAAAAAGAAAATAGATTGGAAAAAAAAAAAAGAATAAGCTCAATGTTTCACCGAAGTATTTTCCCATGCCTGTGAAGCTTCTCTCATCATTTAACTTTTATTCACTATCTTTATATTGTCATAAGAATGATTTCTTTTCCTGACAAGCTATTATATGTTGTATCTTGCTGATATCTAACTGCCTCTAAGTAATTCCCTTCTTTTTCTAATAACTTGTGTTGAAGAAAAACTATATTGATTTTTTATGAGCTTACCTGTTCCTTCCTTAAATATCACTTTAGTTAAACAGAAAGCATTTTCTTTTCATTTTGGCTATATAATTATTAAATTTCAGAACTAAAAGAGCCTTATAGATAAACTAGTAAAATTTCCAGTTTTACAAAAGAGAAAACAGGTTCACTGAAGGAAAAGTGGCACGACCAAGATGAAATTATTTTAAAGGTAGATACCAGTAAGTAAAACAAGATCTGGCAAAAAGAACTGAATGTAGTAATTCAGCAACTTGACTGAAAAACTGACGGGCTGGGCGTGGTGGCTCACGCTGGTAATCACACTGGGAAGCAGAAGCAGGAGAATCACCTGAGGTCAGGAGTTTAAGACCAGCCTGACCGACATGGAGAAACCCCATCTTTAGTAAAAATACAAAATTAGCCAAGCACGGTGGCACATGTCTGTAATCCCAGCTACTCGGGAGGCTGAGGCAGGAGAATTGCTTGAACCCTGGAGGGAGACGTTGTGGTGAGCCAAGATCGCACCACTGCACTTCAGCCTGGGCAACAAGAGCGAAACTCCATCTCAAAAAAAAAAAAAAGAAAAAGAAAAAGAAAAACTGACATCACATTAAAACAGTATTTAATACATCCTTGGTTTTCAAATCTGTTCATTATTGATATTTTAATAAGTTTCCCTATACAAATTTGGTCTCTAAAAGCTATTATATAAACTTCTTAATTTTTTAAAAATAGAGATAGGGTCTCACTAAGTTGCTCAGACTGGTCTTGAACTCCTGGCCTAAAGTGATCCTCCCACCTTGGCCTCCCAAAGTGCTGGGATTACAGGCATGAGCCACCGCACCCGGCCTAAAATAATTTATCACTGTGTAAACTGGCAGAGAAAACATCTCAAAAACTAGAACTGAGTTGATATGATGCATTTAAAGCAAAACCAGATCTAAAGACGAACAGCAGCATTCTTTAAAAAGTAAACTGGGTTCAAAATCTCTTATACTAAAAATAATAAAAATAATTGAATCAATAAGCATCTTTATTGTAAATTAATTCAAACTATGTTTACAGTTAGAGATTTACATTATATTCTTCATAATTCACAGGATTTTCATAACAATGACAGCCAGAGAAGACTACAGCTTTTTGTCATGTATCTCTTAGAATAAGTCACAGGATTTTCATAAGAATGATAGCTGGAATTCAGGCAGACTACAGCTTTTTGTCATGCATCTCTTAGAATGAGGCCTGCTACAAATGATTATCTGTGACAACTTCTAACTTAAGTTCTAACTTAAGATCTTAAGACCTCTTAACATTAGAGTTATGGAATAATGTTCACGTATAACCCACACAAAGGAAAAAAAATAACAAACATATTGATAAAAATAAATAATGTTGACTTATTTAAAAATGTATTCGGCACTGGAGTGGTCCAGGAATTAGAATTTTTAAAAAAAAGAATGAAAAGAAAATGTACTGGGCAGTTGTGGTAGAAAGTGCCTATAGTCCCAGCTACTGAGGAGGCTAAGGTGGGAGGACTGCTTCACCAGGAGTTTAAGGCTGCAAAGAGTTATGATGGCACCACTGTACTCCCTGGGCAACAGAGCAATACCCTGTCCATTAAAAGAAACCAACAAACAATATATATGCCTATATGTCATAAAATGTACTGAAAAACTCCTTGAATTTTATATTGCTGAAATTATTTCTAATGGTAAGATAAACGACATTCCTAATCAAAATGAAAAACAGATATACAGAGAAATTTAAAGTTGGCAAGAAAGGAATAAATCATATGTTTATTTTAAATGCTAAAATAATGGGCAACTCAATCTGGGACTATGGTTAATACACAGCACCTGTCAAACTAGCACAGTGTGCGAGGTAAATAAATGATAGGAATCAAAACCAGCACAAGACACATGTAATTCCTGGTACACTTAAACTTATTTCTAAATGTTTATGCTTTTCCATTTTGAAAAAGCCTCTAAGTTTGTCAGCAGTTTTCTCAGTACAAGCTTCTTTAAGACAGAAAAATGTATCTCTCCAAGGGTTACAATGGTCAGAGTTACATGAAAAGTCACCTTCAAGATAACTTTTTTACTCCCCCAACTACAGTCCCCCCTCTCCCAGGGAATGCTTCTGAGCCTTTTTCAATTTCTTTCGGCACAAACAGGGGCTCCCCTAACCTAGGAAGACTCAAAACAGCAAGCTGTCCTCATCTCTGATGCCCAGGTGTGCTTCAGTTCAACATTTAATATTCCCTTCTTTTCAAGATTAATCCATTCATTTTATTTTATTTGCAATCATTCAGTGGTTGGAAATAACATTTGGATCACTTAAAGCACTAAAGAAAATTAGATTACAAAACATGCAGCAACCGTCCATGACAAATTCTGCATGAAAACTGTAGGTAAGCACCAGAATCCAGATATATCATGTCCACCCTCTGCCACTGCCCTTACAGGAGGGAGATATTTGCAGTTATACGAGTAAAGGTTTCACTCACCAGAAGCTTTAAAACATACCTCAATTCCGGCTGGGCACAGTAGCTCACACCTGTAATCCCAGCACTTTGGGAGGCCGAGGGAGTGGATCACCTGAGGTCAGGAGTCCAAGACTGGACCGGCCAACATGGCAAAACCCCGCCTCTCCTACAAATACAAAAATTAGCCAGGCGTGGTAGGTGCCTGCAATCCCAGCTACTTGGAAGGCTGAGGCAGGAGAATCACCTGAACTGAACCTGGAGGTGGAGGTTGCAGTGAGGCGAGATTGCGCCATTGCACTCCAGCCTGGTCAACAAGAGCAAAACTCCATCTCAAAAAATAATAATAGTAATAATAATAATTTAAAAACCTAAGTTCCTTTCATACTGCAAAATGTTTATTTAAAACCACTTTTAGCACTTTGGGAAGCCAAGGTGGGAGAATCACCTGAGGTTGGGAGTTCAAGACCAGCCTGACCTACAAGGAGAAATCCCATCGCTACCAAAAATATAAAATTAGCTGGGTGTGGTACAGCATGCCTGTAATTCCAGCTACTCAGGAGGCTGAGACAGAAGAATCACTTGAACCAGGGAGGTGGAGGTTTCGGTGAGCCGAGATCACACCATTGCACTCCAGCCTGGGCAACAAGAGCGAAACTCCGTCTCAAAACAAAACCAAAAACAAACAAACAAAAATACTTAGCTAGTCACTAAATCATTAAATCCTGGAAATATATTCTGCTCTAGTTTAAAAGTTACAAAATAAGAATCTTTACATTCCTGTAATTTAAAGCTTTTTTAAAGCTAATTAATCATGGATTTTCCCCTCTACCTTGTTAGTATGATTGGTCAGTCTTTTAGAATTTCACTAAAAATTAGGATGTATAATGGCATAAATGCAAATTAAGTCCACCAAGTCAAACAAAGTACTAAACAGTAAGATCACAGAATTTTAATATACTAAAGAAAACAGCAAGGAGGCAAGGTGAAAGATTGGTAGGAATTCCATCAATACTCTGCCAATTGTGGGGCAAGGTAGACATGTGTTAAACTGTATTCTGTTCTTCAGGTCTTCACACTATGAAAGATCATTACACAACTTGACTTTGTAATTTTTCGGAAGCAATAAGGAACTATTTTCACTTTCTAATCAGCTTCAGCCGAATCTTAAGGGATACAAGTTACCCAAAGCCAGGCAACAGTAACTTTTCTTCCTTGACCCAAGAAGGCAGAGTGCCAGAGGGAAATAGCAAAGAGTAGCACTATATAAACAGGACAAGTGGCACAAGAGCAGAGGCAAGTTATATAACCAAAATATATTTTAAAATATGTTCATAACTCGTAACAACCTTTGCCTTTAGTTGGTTTCTTGTTTGGAGTATCAGTTGAAACAGTTAATTCAATATTATCTGGATCGCCTCCTTCCTCTTCAATAGCCTACATTAGAAAGAGAAGTTAATATGCTACACAGTCTATCTAAACTTATTTTATAAAAACGAAATGAAAAAAAAAATGAGCAAACCTCATGCCTCAAGACATTAGAATTGCCAGTCATTTCATAAACCGACTTCAAAAATGAGCAATTAAACTACACGAAAGAGTAAGAGAAAGTTTCAGGGGGAAGAAATCATTAGGTACGTTTTAAATTCTACCGTGTCAAGATAATTAAATATCACATTATACTGGCCAAAAATGTAAATATGTTCTATTGCAGAAAAGTTGCCAGCTACTGAAGTAAATAACTAAAAAGAGTTTTCCTGGTTTCTGTAATGCAAACTTACTGCTCCTCTACTACAATTCCAACGCTCACTCAAATAAACCAGAAAGCTAATCAGGAACGAAAAAGTAGATTACTGCGCTGATGCAAAAACTAAAAGCCTAATGGAAAACAAAACCACTCTGTCACCCACCCATCGACTCCCATTACCAATTCTCCCTCAAGATGGGGCGGAAACGATTGGGCACAATTAAACGGTAACTTCGCAGAAGTCACCAAAGTAACCATTCCCTCCGAGGCCAAGAAATGCACGCGCTCACCATGGCTAAAGGCTGGGGGCCGAGCGCCTCCCAGGTCTCCACGATCGCCCTTGGGAGGCCGCGCCGGCCGAAGCAACCCTCGCGGCCTGGCGGGGACGTCCCGGGGAGGCGGGGGCGCGCTGGGCTGCGGTGGCCGGTCCCGGGCGGCTCAAGGGTCTCGTAGGCCCGGCCCGGCCCGGAGCGCGGGGGCGGGGGCGCCGCGGATGGGTCCCCGTCCTCCGCGCGCGCGCGCGGGAGCCGCCCCGGGCCTCCCTACCTGCCTCCCCGCGAGTCCCGGCGGCTGCGGGCGGCCGGGGGCTGAGGCGGAAGCCGGGCGCCCAGACGCGGCCTAAGCTCCCCTTCCCGGTCCCTCCCGGTCCTCGCCGGGCCTCACCTGCTTGAGTCGGGAGATGAGCACGGTCTTGACTCCGGTGATGTCTAAGTTCCGCCGCTTCAGCTCCGACTTCAGATCGATGACCCGCAGATCGGTGATCTTTTTACCTTCCGCCTGACCCGAGGCGGCCGAGGCTGCCACCGCAGCGGTAGCGGCAGCCATCTTAGAAGAGCAGCGCGCCGCCGAGGCAGCGAGTGGGCTGCAGGGCGGCGGCGGCGGCAGCAGCGCCAACTTCCACCCAGGCCTCGGCGGCCGCCGGCGCGGCGCAGCGCTGCGCACAATGAGCCGCTGGCCCCGCCCCCGGTCCGCCACCCTAGCGCAACCTGCAGCCGCAGCCAGCACCCGGATGACGGCCGCGCGTGCGCACTGGCGCAGGGACGGGCCGCGGCGCGCTCCGCTGGGCGGGCCGCGGCCACTTGGGCGGTGCGATCCCTTGTGTGGTCTGGCAGGTCGGGCACGTCCAACCGCAGCAACGGCCGCCGCGCCGCCGTTCCCCGTCGCTTCGTTAGCCATTTTCTTGCAACGTCTTGAGTCTTGAGCAACAACGATGTGCAGGCGCTGAATGACGTCGTGCACGCGTTACTCAACACAAACCCGGGGGGCGCGTGCGCGCGCTGAACCTCCCAGGGAAATACTTAATCAGTTCTGCTGAATAATCGGAAAATTGTCGCCGGTGTGCACCAGTGAGCTAGATTCCCCGAGTTCCATTCAAAAGACCTCAAAGCAATTCTGGGACTGTTAGTCCAAAGAATAGGAAGGGCTGGCCTTGGACACGTGCCTCAGTAGCTGTCTCAGGAGAAAACATCGTTGCCCTGCCCATGGCAGCTGAGTTTATTCTAGTGCTGCCCCTGCTCGCTTGAAAGAACGGGAAAACTTCTTTCGTGTTGCCGTCGGGTTTGCTATCCTCCCAGTGGACCTGATGGCCCAACACGAAATTGTTCACTGAATGGGAAAACTAGCTTCTAAGTACTTGTTGCCCTTGTCGTATATACTGTATTCACTATTTTGTCCCCCAAAATTTGGGATTCCAAGAACAGTGAGCATCTTCTTGTGGAAGATCGGCCTGTACGAGTGAGTACCTATTTGTAATTTTACCTTATATTATTTATCAAAATATAAGTATTGATAGAATAAAACGATTCTATAAATTCCACAAGGTGAGTATGATGCACAATTCACTGTACTGAATTTCCTGGTTTTACAACTTAAATTCCTGAGATCTGACTCACTTTAGGTTACTTTTTCTGATTGGCTGGCTCAAAAAGAGGAAGACTGGGCATTTCAAAAGAATACCTGACACTAGGGTAGTTCTTTACAGTTTATAAGGCACTTTGACATACAGTAACCCCCTTAATCCTTACCAGCTCCGAGAGGTTAATCTCCATGAGACTTAGAGAGATTAAATGACTTGCCCATGTTCACACCGCAGAGCTGTGCTCAGATCCCAGCCTCCTAATTCCAAATTCAGCTCTGTCTCTGCTACAATATTAGATTCACAGTGATGGAAGTTTAGAATACAGAGACTCCTTAGAAATCTTCTGGCCCATCATTTGAGGTCAGGAGTTCAAGAACAACCTCTCTACTGAAAATACAAAAATTAGCCGAGTGCGGTGGTAGGCACCTGTAATCCCAGCTACTCAGGAGACAGAGGTAGGAGAATCACTTGAACCAGGGTGACAGGGGTTGCAGTGAGATTGGCCACTGCACTCCAGCCTGAGCAACAGAGGGAGACCCTGTCTCAAAAAAAAAAAAAAAAAGGTCTGGTGGGTTGGCTCACGCCTGTAATCCCAGCACTTTGGGGGGCTGAGGTGGATGGATCACTTGAGGTCAGGAGTTCAAGAGCAGCCTGGCCATCATGATGAAACCCCATCTTAAAAAAAAAAAAGAGAAATTATCCTTGAAGGGAGATGCAACACATTACCTATTACCTATGTTCACAAGTTGGTTTTACAATTTTTTTTTTTTTTTTTGAGTTGGAGTCTCGCTCCGTCGCCAGGTTGGAGTGCAGTGGAGCGATCTGCGCTCATTGTAACCTCCGCCTCCTGGGTTCAAGCCATTCTCCTGCATTCGTCTCTTGAGTAGCTGGGATTACAGGCATGCACTACCATGCCCGGCTAATTTTTGTATTTTTAACAGAGACAAGGTTTGACCATATTGATCAGGCTGATCTCAAACTGGTGACCTCGTGATCCGCCCTCCTCAGCTTCCCAAAGTGCTGGATTATAGGCGTGAGCCACTGCGCCTGGCTGCTTTTACAAATATTTTAAAAATTACAGTGTCTAGGCCAGGCACAGTGGCTCACACCCGTAATCCCATCTACTTGGAAGGCTGAGGCAAAAGAATCACTTGAACCAGGTAGTGGAGGTTGCAGTGAGCCAAGATCATGCCACTGTACTCCAGCCTGGGCGACAGAGCGAGACTCTGTCTCACACACACACACACACACACACACACGAAATTTACAGTGTCTAGCATTCAGTCAAACTCACAAGGAGACAAGATCCCATGAATGGAAACTAGCACAAACAACAGACTACAGACATAGGCCCTAGGTTCTCTGAATAGTAGACTTATCAGATACAGACCCAGTGCGGTGGCTTACGCCTCTAATCTCGCACTTTGGAGGCCAAGGCAGAAAGATTGCTTGAGTACAAGAGTTTAAGACCAACCTGGGCAACATGGTGAGACCCCATCTCTACTAAAATTTAAGAAAGTAACTACTCAGGAGCTACTTAGGAGACTGGGGTGGGAGGATCACTTGAGCAGGGGAGATAGAGGTTGCAGTGAGCCAAGACTGTGCCACTGCTTTCCATCTTAGCTGACAGAGTAGGACCTTGTCTCAAATAAAAATAAATACATCAAACATCAGTTACACAGAACTCAAGATAAAATTAGAGAGCTGGAAGATGGGTCCAAAGAAACTATCAAGAATGAACCATGGAAAGGCAAAAAAAAAAAAAAAAAAAGAGAAAGTATTGAAGAAATATCTTAGGGTCTTGGCAGGAAAGAGATTGCAAACTCAAATCGAGTAAGTTTTTTTATTTTTATTTTTATTATTATTATTACTTTTTGAGATGGAGTTTCGCTCTTGTTACCCAGGCTGGAGTGCAATGGCGCCATCTCGGCTCACCGCAACCTCCGCCTCCTGGGTTCAGGCAATTCTCCTGCCTCAGCCTCCTGAGAAGCTGGGATTACAGGCACGCGCCACCATGCCCAGCTAATTTTTTGTATTTTTAGTAGAGATGGGGTTTCACCATGTTGACCAGGATGGTCTCGATCTCTTGACCTTGTGATCCACCCGCCTCGGCCTCCCAAAGTGCTGGGATTACAGGCTTGAGCCACCGCGCCCAGCCGAGTAAGTTTTAAAAAGTGTAATAAAGGGATTATTTACAAAGGTGTGAGCAGGGTTTAGTGAAATCACAAAAAAATGGTGCATTTGGGTTAAAATCAATGGAAGTTCTTAGTGCCTCTCAGCCTCAATAGGCAAGAAAGGAATAGTTTCTAGAACACAGAAAAAGAGGGCTGCACAACAGGCCCGTGGCTTCAACAGAGGAATACAGCCGTGGCAACTTCACAGCAAGAAACCACGGTGTGGAGCAGGGAGGTGGTGACAGCAATAAGTGCAGGAACCTCAATCTTTTTCCACGCTTTTACTTCCTCCCAGTGCTCCTATTGGTGAAACCCCGCTGGAAGCCAGAGGTAAGAGTAAAGAAGCCAGTTCATTTAGTCCATAAATACCTGCCTCTTGGCCAGGCATGGTGGCTCACACCCGTAATCACAGCACTGCAGGAAGCTGAGGCGGGCAGACTGCTAACCATTTTTTGGAGTGGAATTTGAGAAACTCATTCAAATTTTACATGGATGCAAATGATCAAAAATAAGCAAAAACTTCTGAGGAAGGAAAATGATGTCAGCATTTTTTCTGTGATACATCAAGCATTATTTTAAAATGCGGTGTTAGCAAAGCGATTGACAGCTAGACCCATGGAACAGAATAGAGGGACCCAAAGCAGATCCATGGACCTGCTTTTTGACAAAACTGGCTTTATAGGGTAGTAATGTGAGGGCAATTTTTTCAACAAATTATGTTGGGATTACTACTTTACACCAAATTTTAAAAGAAGTCAATTCGATGTGGATTATAGACATGAATATGAGGCAAAACAATAATACTACTGGTGTCACAGTATATAAATATAAAATGGGAAATATAAGTGGAAAACGTACAGCATAAGAAGTAAGAAGGGTACACACAGTGAAGCATGGAAAGGAATCCAGTTGGCGAGAACATCACCACCTTAATGCTCTACGTTATTCTACGGTAAGTGGGGACAGCAATCAGTCTACTGTGTAATAGTGGAGGTTGCTGGGTCAGGAAATAGTCTTTTTTGCAAAGAAAGATCTTTTGGAGTTCAGTTTTTGCTATCAGCTTGCTTTTTTTTTTTTTTAACAACAGAGTCTTACTCTGTTTCCCAGGCTGGAGTGCAATGGTAAAATCTCAGCTCACCACAACCTCCGCCTCCCGGATTCCAGTGATTCTCCTGCCTCAGCCTCCCAAGTAGCTAGGATTACAGGCACCTGCCACCACATCCAGCTAATTTGTATATTTTTAGTTGACACAGTGTTTCACCAAGTTAGCCAGGCTGGTCTTGATCTCCTGACCTCAGGTGATCCACCCACCTTGGCCCCACAAAGTGCTGGGATTACAGGCGTGAGCCACCGTACCTGGCCAGTTTGCTTTTATGCTGAGCCGAGTTACCAGAGAGAGGAGGAAAACAGTCCTCAGATTTGTTTGTCCTTAAAGATAGTATTAGGAGAGTATTATCAGGACCTTGGATTAGGAAAAGATTTATTTATGAGGAAACAAAAAGCACCAAGTACAAAGGAAAAGATTGATATAAAAAACTACACTAAAATTAAGAATTTCTTCTCATTAAAAGGTACCACTGAGCGAGTAGAAGGCAAACCACGAAAGGGGAGGGCATTCAAAACACAGATAACGTAGGTTCATCATCAGCATATACAGAGAACACGTGAAAAAAAAATCCAGTAGAAAAAAAGTGGTCAAGGCCAGGAGTGGCGGCTCATGCCTGTGATCCCAGCATTTTGGGATGCCAAGGCCAGCGTACTACTTAAAGCCAGGAGTTTGAGACCAGCCTGGCCAACATGGTGAAAACCCGTCTGTACTTAAAAAATACAAAAATCAGCTGGGCGTGGTGGCATGTACTTCTAGTCCCAGCGAATTGGGAGGCAGAGACAGGAGAATTGCTTCAACCCAGGAGGCAGAGGCTGCAGTGAGCTGAGATCAAGCCACTCACTTCAACCTTAGTGACAGAGTGACACCCTGTCTTAAATTAAAAGAGAAAAAAATGGTCAATACTTGAAAAGGCGCTTCACCAAAGAGAAAATCCAATTCAAATGCTATGTGCGTGTGTGTCTATATAACATTACATACATATATATACACACACACACACACGTACACACACATGATTTAAATACATGGAAAGATGATCAAACACTAGTAATCAGGATACTGCATTTTATTTTATTTTATTTATTTATTTTTTTGAGACGGAGTTTCACTCGTTACCCAGGCTGGAGTGCAATGGCGCCATTTCGGCTCACCGCAACCTCCGCCTCCTGGGTTCAGGCAATTCTCCTGCCTCAGCCTCCTGAGTAGCTGGGATTACAGGCACGCGCCACCATGCCGAGCTAATTTTTTGTATTTTTAGTAGAGACGGGGTTTCACCATGTTGACCTGGATGGTCTCAATCTCTTGACCTCGTGATCCACCTGCCTCCGCCTCCCAAAGTGCTGGGATTACAGGCATGAGCCACCGCGCCTGGCCAGGATATTGCATTTTAAAACAGCAATGATGTATCTTTATACCCCAGAATAATGGCTAAATCA